CAAAAAAAAAAAAAAAAAAAAAAAAAAGCATGTGTTGTAAAACACTCTAAGTAGGTTTGGACCTGCCACGTGTGGCTGCCTGCATACAGCTGAGCTGGAACGTGGGCAGAGGCACGCTTCCACACAGTCCAGATCAGACAGGGGCTGAGGTCTTGAAAAAGTTGCCAGTAAATGCCAGGTGGCCGAGTGGCTGTTGGCACTGCCCCTGTATAGGGGTGGGGGTCCAGGTGCTGCCAGGCTCTGGCCTCCTGTGCCTGATGCACATTATTAGTCAGGCAGAGGCATTTGCTGCGAGGTGGTGCAGTGTTTGAAAAGCCTGGCTCACTGGCCTACTCTGTGCATGTTCTGGGGCTTTCATCCCAGCCCTGGCCCTGGAGGCAGGTTGTTCTGTGGTTCTTTTCCCTGCAACCGTCTTCCACAGGCAAGGGCTGTAGGGGATGTCGTGTGAGTGTCTCCTTGTGGTGGTGGGAGCTCCGTGTGCTCAGTGAGGATCTGATTGGATTAATATTTGTCCTCCTTCCCATTTTCCCCCCCCCCCCTCCATCTGAGAGGTCTTGGTTTCCAAAGAGGGGCTGGAGCGGAAGTCCCCTGCACGGTGGGTCATTGTTCAAGGTTTCAGTAAGGTGGGTGGCAGAGTGACTCTGTGAGTCACCGTCCGAGCTGAGTAAAGCCAGGAGGGACATCCAGGCTCTCTAGGCCATCCAGACTTGGATTTCACAGCAGGAGCATTATCCCCTGCTCTCAGTGCTATGGGCAGGGGAGGTGGAGGGAAGAAACATTGCCTTGCCCATTCTCCACGCCTGGTCCCTTTGTGCAAGGCAGTCCAGCAGCTTCTGCACTATTGGCTGTTGTGCAGTGTCCCCAGCCTATGGGTGACTTTTGTCAGCACTCAACCCACTAGAAAAGTACCACCTGTACCGGGCACAGGCCCTGGCTGGAACAGCCATAGTGATGCAGGCTGCCTGGGCCAGGTCCAGCCTCCTCTGGGGTCTGTGCTGGCTCACAAGGCCCTACCCCTGCAAGCGGGGGCTCCAAAGCATCCTCCAGTTTGGGCCATTTAACCCCTTTCCCCCTTGTCTGATAACTGCTGCTGGAGTTCAGTGGGCTAGTAAGCGATGTGGCTGAGAAGTTGGGGGCAGGTATCTATTGCACACCTCCTCCTAAAGGCAGTGGCACTTGACTCTAGCACACATCAGGGGGAAGGGGCTGGATGCTGCAAACTAACCCCCCAGTTAGCTGCACTTTGGGCATGGTGGGGCCAGCTCAGTGCTGCTATGGGCCTCTGGTGCTGGGGAAGGGAACTGGCTCAAGGCAGCTTGGACTCAAGAACCTCAGCTCAGCCCCTTCCCCAGCACAGCCCAATATGAGGGCATTGAACCTCAGTAGCATACGGGAGGGCCAGGAGGTGACTGGGGCAGCCCTAGGCACTTCCTGAGGGGGTTGGGGGAAGCATGGAAATAGCTGCCCCTGGAGTAGTAGCTGAACAGGTGGCTGCAATGGGCACCCAGCAACCAGCCCTGCCCTGCTGCTGGGCTCTCCCTGTCAAACCCAGGGTCCCCAGGTTCTTCTCAGCTTGTTTGCAGCCCTGAGAGCAAACAAAGATTTAAAACAAGAGCAGGTTATTGCCTCTGCCTTTGTTCCTATGGCAACAGTCAGAACAGGAAGAAGGCTGCTGGCCTGGGTAGAGGCCGTGTCTGAAAGTACCAATTCTTGTTCACACCAGGGAGCCGGAGGTCTATTGCCCCTACTCGCCTGCGTGGTGCATGGCGTGTTTGAACCATGTGGGGTGAGGTGCTGCAGTGTTATGGGTGCAGGACCAGGCCGCTTGGATGTGCTTGGTCTGGGGTGACGTGGGCAGGGTTTGAAAGAGGCTGACACCCTTTTGCATGTCAGTACTGTAAGGAAGGCAGCTCTGTGCCAGCACTGGCCACCCTGCTGGGAAACACGGGACACCAAAAACTATATACTCCATCCTGGCTGCAGAGTCAATTCCAGTAACAGGTTGCAGAGACCACTTCTTAACCCACATTCCCACCCTGCTGCTCGCTTGCGTGGAACAGCTGTGGCCTGATCTCCAGTTCAAGCAGAGCAAGCCCAAGGGTAATAGTTCATTGAAACATGCCCTACCCTTGTCTGCTGGTAACAAGCATCTGTTCAGGGTGCATACAGCAAGGCAATGGCCCAGTTACTGAAGCACTTTCTTATTCCCACCTGTAGGACAGCTGCTTGCTTGCCCCTCCTGGCATGTAAGATGTACCCACCCTCATGCACGTGGGGAGAACATAGCTTCAAGGTGGTAGTTTGTGCACTACGGCCAGTACAGAAGAGTTTGCTCCCTCTTCTAGTGCCAGTCCAGCAGGCAGAGGTAGGATGTTCAAGGAGGGCAGGGAAGTGTGATGGTGGGGGTGGCAGGGTTGGTACTAGTACTTGGCTGTAATGCCCTGCCTAGGAGTGGGTATTGCCTACTGAAACTTTCTTTATGACAGCAGCTTTACTCCTTTATGGTCTCAGCTACATCCTCTGCAGCAAGCATGGGCCAGTAGGCCCCTGCTCCTTAGAATGAGCCATGTCACATGGGTGTGATGGAGCAGCAGAGTCTCAGGTTGCAGGAGAGCACGATCATGATTGCAGCAGGAACAGCTGATTTGATCCTGGTGCTGCCTGGGCTGGGAGGGCGCTGATCTGTCATGTCCATTGCAGATGTTAAGCTGAGACTTCCTGTGCCTTAATGGATGGCTCATGCCCAGAAGGGTTCTCTCTTTCTTGTTTGCTTGTTCTGATCAGCAAGCTGGGAACCAAACAGCACATGTTTTAGGAGCAGGTGAAGGCTCCATGTCCTACTAGCTAAACTCTTCCCTTTAGACCAGGGCTGTTCAACTTCTAACTGCACTGGGGGCTGCATTAGGTGAGTCATGGGCCACTGGGCCATGCCCTGTCTACTTGTGCCCATGCAACATGCACCCCCATCCCAGTGCTACTTATGTAGCCCCTATTCCCCCTCCACACACACAGCCTGGATGCACCCTCAGTTCCCTGTGCTGCCACACTGCAGCCAGAGGAGGGAGAGCCTGAGGACTGCCTGCTAGCGCAGCCAGTGATGGGTGGAGTGGCAGCCAGGTAAGGCTACGACTTAACTCCTTTTTAGACAAGGGAAGAAATGGAGGAGGGTAAAGTGGTTTGGGGGTAGCAGGTCAGGGGGGTCTCTTTTGGCCAACACCTTTCTTTTCAGCAGGGTCTCCACACTTATTCTTTGCCTTCAGTGGGAATGCAGCAAGGGTTGCTTTATGAGAGAGGCTGGACAACAGGCCAGGAGGAGGCTCACTTGAAAGCCCACATCCAGTGTCAAAAGTTCACTTCAATTGACTCTCTGATTGTAAGAAACTGTTTAAAGTCTGTGACTCTTTGTATCATTGTAGGATGTTAGAAACAGCTATGATGTGTGTCCTAGGTAAAATGAATAAATGAAAGAACCATTGAACAAGTTACCCCTTTTAACCCTTTTCTGCCTCCACTGAAGACTGGTCTAACATGGTCTTAGATGAGCCAAGCTGCACAGTTACAGTCTTGGATGCGCCTGCTAGGATGTTCCCTGCCACACCAACCCCCGCAGAGCCTGCCTAGGCCCCTGCACTTGGTGCTATAAGGAATTACTGGCAGACACTACCCCTCATCCTTGGATGAATTCAACTGT